CTCAAACCTTAAACTAGGTTCTTTGATAGCAAACATTGATTATTTCTTATCATTTGTGCTCATTCTATATCATTGTTTATTGTTGCTATTGATTAAACATAATCATTTATCTAATTAGGTATCATAGCCCATTAGTTCAACTAGTCTACACTTCCTTTTTTTCTTTATTATGCTCTTCCCCTTTCCTTCATTTTCCATTTTTAATATTTCATTATCTATTATTCATGTTTATCGTGCATTTAAAGTAATTATTAACTTTGTGTGATACATGTAATAAGTCATCGTGGACATGTGTTGTGTTTTTCTTTTTTAAATGATAGTAATGATTATAGAAAAATAATTCTACCCGACTGAATTAAACCCTTAAATTGTATATAATTTTATATTCATATTTAGTCTAAATTAATAAATAGAGAATCATGTGTTGAATTAAGTTTGGATTAAGATATTTATAGAAGTAGTTTTGGAATTGAGAAAGGAAAAATAATAATGTAGATGACGTAAGTGTATCCAAATAAAGAAGAATAAATAAAATGGGAATAACATGTGGATATTGAATATTGAATATGCATCATATCATCATCAATATTATAGATTGTACAGAATACTGCTAAATGTTAAGACACAGCAGGGTCCAAGCGTGAGCGTCCCTGTCAAATCTTACGTATTCTCTCTCTCTCCTCTCTCTTCCTCTCTTTCTCTCTCTTCACTTCTCAGAGAGAAGAATTCATACGACAGCCTTCGCTCCAGAGATTCCATTCAAGCTTCGATCTTTATCACTCTCTCTCTCTGGGTCTACCTCGTTTTCTTCTTTCAATCTCACCCAAAAGAAAAAAATATGTTTCGGTTTACCAAGGTAAGATTTTAGAATGATAATGTTGTCGCTAACATTACTCTTAATAAACTACGCAATAATTTGACTGGTAGAACTTTTACTATATTACAACAAAAAAAAGGTGAATTTTGCTCTCCGCTCGCTTTTGGGTCGCGCATTGATTTTACGAGCTTCGTGTTTTTCATGTTTCGCTGTTGTTTTTCTTCTTTCTCGTCGAAGGTTGGAGATGCGTTTGAGCTTGGAATCATTAAACTCGGTTTTTGTTTTTTTGTTTTTTTTAAATTTGTTGTCCTTCGATTTCTGTGACCAGATGTTATACTGCTGCAGGTTATCCCAGTACGGATGGAACATTTAAATTTAAGTTTTGACGTCAATTGGAGATTGTTAAACGGGGTTTTGGTTTGGTTTGATTTGGTTTGGTTTTATTCAATGTATGTGCGAGTTGGCCGAATTTGGTCAATTATCTTTGGCATCTTGGACGGTTGCTTCTTTTGTTTTTGTTTTTCGTAATTTTGTTTAGAAAAGGTTAATGATGTTGTCTGTGTAGCAGTACCTTCATAGCCTCATATTATCATCTACAATGCATCATTGACTGATTTTTTTTAGTTTTTGTTTTTGGGTCTTTGAGCTTTGGGTAGCTGTTTCCTGAGTACAATATAAAAAAGTTCCCTTTTATGGAAATGGGATCTGCTTTTTCCCAACTCAAAAAAATAAGAATAAAACTGATTATTGGAACCTATAATAACAGTAACAATATGCTAATAGTCTGATTCCTCTGGAAAAGGAACTCATGGAGGTCATGATTTCTCCTACACTGCTTGTTGTCTCATCTGCCCAAATGCCATAAACAATTCCAAAATTAGTCATGTTTGTCTTTCTGTTGTGGTTAGTGCAGGCCGTTGCAGATAGGGGATATGATTATTAGTATGGATAAATTCATTAAAAAATGACTATGGTGTATTATTTTTATGTATACTAATAGGACTTTCTCACCCTTTGTTATATCTTCTCATCTCAGTTTGCACATAATGCAGGCCTGGTTCTGACCTGAATTTACTTCTTGCGATTCAAAGAGAGGAATGGAGGGTGACACATTCTCTGGCCTTGGCAATGGTGCTCAAATTGATGCCAACATCATGCAGACATTTCACAAGAGCTTTGTTCAAGTTCAGAGCATCTTTGATCAGAACAGGCTACTCATCAATGAGATAAACCAGAACCACGAGTCCAAGGTCCCTGATAACCTCACCAGGAATGTAGGTCTCATTAGGGAGCTCAACAACAATATCAGAAGAGTGTATGACCTATATGCTGATCTTTCAAGTTCCTTTACCAAATCCATGGAAGTTACTTCAGAGGGGGATTCCAGTGGTGGTGTGAAATCAGATGGGAAGGCAGGCCACAAGAGACACAGGCCTGTGTAGAAACTTTGTTTCCCTGTGATTCTTTTGCTTGATGGAGAAGTACAAGAAGTGTTGAAGGGTAGAACACAAGGTTAGAAGATTCAGTAGTTGAAGAAGCTCTATTGTGTTACAGGACTGCTAGCACATCACTTGTTCCTTATATTCCAAATAAAAAATTATATATTGATTTTTATCTACAATTCTCTCATTGTAATTTGTAACCATGTAATTTGGGATCTAATAGAAATCTAGCATGATTGTGCAACTAATTCAATCATGCTACTGTTGTTTAAAGTGGAAATAAGAGAGTCTTTCATTTTTTTAACTCTTTTTTTTTTCTTTGATCCTGTCATGGTAATGTAATTTAGTGATGAGCTTGATTTTATGAGCCTATGAGGTATACCTTTCAGCTTCCGTTAACTTTTTCTCTCTGTCAAATGGAGCAAGAGGGTCTTCTTAAATCTTTGTTCATCATTCCTTTTGATGGGAACCTGTCATCATACCTTTATTCCCTTTGCAAGTTCAACCCAAAATGTTGATCCAGTTCTCACTTTGGCTAATAGCTGAAATTGAGAACCGGTGGTAGATACTGTTTTAGGTTCATTCCCATGTAACCACAGCTTCTTTACTGAAAAATACTGTTCCTGATTTTAATATTCCTTTGTGTCCTTGTGGGTGTAAGACAGGGAAGAGTACACAGATACATACGTACATACACGAATACATGTGCGCGAAGATGCCCTGAAACAGTGTGAAAAAAGCAGCTTTAGTCTATCTTTTTGGTTCCCAATCACACACCACCACAGGAACAGAATCTCAGATAAGAAACGATGTGCTTTTGACATAAATTTTTAATCTTTATACCAAATGAATGGTATTGGCTGTGAACTTAAAGTATTATATATGGACAGTGATGTATCAACGCCCATCTGTTAATAAATATTCATAGAAACAAAGAATTAGGAGAAATAAGTATCTACATGATATGATCAAGAAATATAAATTAAGGTGTCAACTGTTGAATTATCTGAAAATTATTATTCAAACTGAGCTCTACAGTGCTTTGAATCAGATATATGTAAAGAATAATGATCACAACCCTTGGATATACCCCAAGTGGTACCAGAGAAAATATCATATGATGTGATGAGAAAGAAAATGAAAATGAAAAGCGGTGAATAATGAAAGTTGAAATTGGAATGTAAAAAAGCCAGAGTTGATACGGAAATACAAATAGTGGCCCCAACAACAAGACAAGGGACCCAAAGGTTCTCTTTTTTTGGGATGAAACTGAACTTCTCCATGCTTATCTCTTTATTCTGAGCTACATACTCTTTTACTATTCAATTATTTCCCTTCTTCCTTTCTATTCAGCAATTGTTTTTGTACAATGCATAAACTGATAAGATGCATGACAAAAGAAAGAAAAATACAAGGCTTATCACTGACACTGTAATTTCTGTTTTCATTTCTATGTAAAATGTTTAGGTGAGTTATCCTTCAGAAACAAATAATGCTATGCAAACACCCAGTAAGCAAAAAAACATCTAAAAGATTCTTAATGATGTGATTTATGATACATATTTTTATCACCAAATAAAAACTGAGCAAAGAAAAATGTTTTTTAATGGAAGTTTGTGCTTTAAAAGGTGTCTATGTACTTTTTCTTAACGTAGAGACTCATCATTCTAATTAGCAAAATTCTTGAATCTAACTGAAATTGAAGCTTAAGTTATGTAGAATATGAGCATAACATTCTCCTACTATACCAAATTTTGTTAGTATTTGCTCTTTTTATACCACTGATGCAAAAAAAAATGTCCTTAGGGACAAACCTCATGGTTGGTAATTCTCTGGCTTGGATTTCTCTCTCTCTCTCTCTCCCTGATTGAGCAGATGTCTGTGTTGGAGGACCCTGTGAGTGGCAGCCTAATTTCCTGATCTCAGTAAATTGGCCCACATGAGTGATTGCTCAAAATGGCCTGTTTCTGGTTTAGATTTTGCACATACAAAAAATAGTACCTTTTCCTTATCTACAAAATTGATCCCTCTGTCCGTACCCCATATTCACAATCAATTTACTTGGACATCAAACTATAATTGTTCCACCATCATCATCATCATCATGATGTGTGTGTCCATACTCTCAGCATTTCTTGGCATTGCACTCAAGAAATCCAGTCTTAACATATCATATCATATACACAAATCATAAAATATATAGAAATAATATTATGGTCTTTTATATAAATTTGTTCTGATACCGAACCTTCGTGTGTCTTCCATAAAAAAACTTCAAATCATAAGCCTTTCATATGCTATACTTATCATCACTTCACTTTCTCTCAAAACCTCACATGTGAAATTTTCATTTCCTTGTTACATACTGGTTTGTCTGACTAGTTTTTTCATAGTATGAGGATCAAATCAAAATTTTCCTGCTTATCTTAACCTATAGACTGATTATTACAGTACAAAATTTACCAGTTTCTTGAGAAAAGGAGGGAGAATGATTATATGAGTAAAAACACATCTTGGGTGACATAGCTCTATGCAGATGTGTTAATGATTAACCTATATATATATATTAAAGAGAGGAAATTAAAAAGGGTTGGGGGAGGTTTTGGGAACTGTGCCAAAAAAATGCATAAGCATGCTAAGTTTGAGGTAGTGATGAAGGGGTGTGGAAAAATGAGATATATAAAAAATGGTTTGGTCCCTACACAGGCGAAGACAAATTAAACATTGTCTAGTACATAACATGTGCAGTGGGAATCTACTTTTCCCTTTCTTTCCCTTTGTTCCTTGCATTTCCAGCAAATAGGTTGGAAAGGAGGCCATCTCTAGTTTGCCCTAATAAAGCCGTTTCATAATAATAATGCAACCCATTGATATCTACATCATTGGTTGGACCAATCATACTTATTCCACTATAATAATCCATGCCCCATGCCGCAAAGGTGTTTGATTATATGACTAAATGACACTAACAATAATTTCATAGTTTTAGTAACTTTTATATCCTCTTTTTAAATCAAAACTGAACTACATTTAGTTTATGGTTCCAGAAGACACCGATTTATCAAATTTGAATACTTTTAAGAATATTAATAAACTTTATGACGTTGACCTCCCGTGGTCATCCTCAAAGGTTCCCAAATTATGTTATTAGGGTTTTATATTCGACCGTCTTCTGCAATCATGTCTTAGCACACTTTCAAGGAAGAATATATATATATGAATATGTTTGCGTAGCTAAAATAAATAAATAATATGTTTACAGTTATACATGTTTCATTTTCTTTATTTCTTAAAAATTGAAAGCGTAATTTTTTTTAAAACAATTATGCTTAGAAAAAAATAATAGAGTAAACAATTATTTTTTATTATTATACGACTAATTATATATTTTACTCCCTTTTTGACTTATCCAGTTAAACAGGAAGACACATCTCAATTTTTCCTTTATTTTTATTCAACCAAACAACATGTGTTATTTATATTTTATTTTTCTTGTATTTTCATTATTCATAATTTGTTTATCTTAATTTCATTTATAACCAAGCAGATCATTTAGAAAAAAAATTCACTCTTTGGCATGGGATGCTTCATCCATGCTCTTTATAATTTTTTTTTCCTTTTCCCTTTGACCAAAGGGAAAAAGTTGCTCACTCTCTTAAATTTTTTTTCCATCACTTCTTTATTTTAACCAAACTCATTAAAGCATCACGTTTACAATACAGAACTAATATAATTTTATTATAATTGTTGAAGATTTATATTAATTAACAATTTGATCAAAATAAAATATATAATAAAAAGATATTCGCTCGTATCTTTAATATAGGACATTTTTTAAAAAAAAATACGAGAATAATTTAGTTAAATTTTCTTAAAACATATTATCAATATACTAAATTAATCCCCTTTAAAAATTCTCACTACTTGTTAATATAAAACACAAAACTCATAATATTTAATGAAAAATATATAAAATACTTTATAAAATGACCAATAACTTTTTAAAGTGTGTCCAACAGAGAGAGTATTTTTCTTTTAAATTAAACGAAACATACCACCACCACATTCTTGTGTGACGATAATTGCGTGTTGAATGCTTAATTAAACCTCAAATCGTAAATTATATTTGGGGTGTTGCTTCCTCCGCCATCATTCTATACTTTCTTCACCTCCCCACATTATTTTAAATATAATTATATCCTTCTTAAGTTAAAAAGGTTTTTACTTTTATCCTATTTTAAATAATTTGAAACCCTAATTTTATTTTCCCAGCACCCACTCACCTACAGAACTCTCTTCTCCTTTTCCCATTTTCGTTTCACCTCCCCACCTCCCGCACTTCCATTCCTTTTTCTTTCCAGTTTTTTTTTGGTTCGAAAGCTTCCATTGCCGCCGTGGTGTGAAGGAGCGTCACCGCCGTGGTGTGGAGGAACATCGAGGAGTGTCCAAAGCATCAACCAGTGTGAGGAAGTATACATCAACGGAGGTGACATCCTTCAACAGATGTCCCATAATAAAACAAACTCTAAAATAAAAAACATAATCTTTAAACGGAGGTGTCATCTTCAATGGATGTCAACATCCGTTTAAGGTAAAACTCGACCTCCGTTTTTTCTTAAACGGATGTTGACATCCGTTGAAGGATGTTGACATCCGTTGAAGGATGTTGACATCCGTTGAAGGATGTTGACATCCGTTGAAGGATGTTGACATCCGTTGAAGGATGTCACCTCCGTTTAAAGATTACGTTTTTTATTTTAGGGTTTTATTTCAAGGTTTATTCAAATACGAGGAAGCACGACACGCACTGCACCACTCCACACACTACACCACTCCACGCACTACATCACGAGAGGGAGACTGCTTGATAATTCTTTCCACCACCACCAACCTTTGCAAAGTATTTTACTCATTACGGAAGTAAAATAAGTTATTAGTGAAATAGGTTGTGAATGGATAAAATTAAAAAATAATAACCCTAAAAATAAAATTTTACTGAGAGACAAAATAGTAAAGGAAAGGTAGAGGAAGAAAGGTGTCGGAGGGAGCAACACCCTTATATTTGCTTACTTTTTTTTCCATAAAAGATTTCTCTTGAAACTTCAATCTGGGCTGGCCTAATTCCATTAATAGGTCCAATTAAGTTATTCTTACTTTTGACTTTTGGTATTTTAGAGAATATTACTTCTTCAAATATAATATTTTAAGAGATTTTATTTATATATTTATTTGTTATTTTAAATTTAAAGATAATATCTTTTTGTTTATATATTTTTATCCTTTATTTAATATTTAATTAGTTCACATATATTAGAATAAAGTAATGATATAAGATAAATGATTAAATATTTTTTTATTCTCTCAATTTTAAGTGAAAATTAGAATTAGTTTTTTTTTTAAATTTTGACTTAATTAGTCTCTCAACTTTAGAAACATATAAATTTAGTATGTTTGACTAAATTTTGTTAAGTTTATTTGATATATCAATCACCATTGAAGTAAAAATATGTCAAATGATATAAACAATTCAAATGTTATCATGAAACATGTTTGAAACATCAAATAAATTTAAAAAAAAATACTTAAAAAGAACTAAATCTACGTATTTATAAAGTTAGAAGATTAAATTTAATCAAAATTTTAATGAAAGACTAATTTCATTTTTCACTTAATCAAAATTTTAATGAAAGACTAATCAAAAATTTTCACTTATATGATTGAACTTTTCTTCAACGAGGTTTTTCCTTTTTGTGTTATTTGGTTTCATGCTTAATTTCAAAAACTAGAATTTTTTTAACAATTGATACCAACTTGTATAATGCAGTCGGATTTATTGGCTATGAAAAATGCTAGTGATAATGCTCAAGAAATGAAGGATGTTGAAGAACGTATATTGATGCTAGATTATTTTACATTTTATTAAGTTTCTCCTGTCAATACTTTATCTGTTATGCGATTTCTTTCTCGTTCTTGATCTACTTCGTTCTCGTTCATTCGTTCTCTAGTTAGCATTGTTCTTGTTCACTCATTCCAGGGTTGCCATTGTTCTCGTGTACTCGTTCAGTCGTTCCATCATTGAATGTCGTTGAGGAGGTTGTTGTAGTTGAGGTGGTTGGGTGAAGATGTTCTTCAGCGTCACTGGTGGCCATTGTTGAAGTTGTTTGTAATGTGGTTTCTTTCTTTCTTGCATCATTCTCTTCACTTCTCTCTTTGCATTGAAGTTTTTATTTCACTTTGGGAGCAAATGTTCACTTTGCGTTCCTCTTCAGCGTTCTGTACTGGCATTTTCAAGACCAGACACGTCAACACCAACGTTTGCAGCGATTCGCGTTTGCGGACCTGTTCTCTCCCCTACAGTCGACAACGCCTGCGGCGGACCATCGTATAGGGAAACGATGGATTTTGTGACGGTGAGGTATTTTTTTATTGTTAAGGTTTTCATATTTCATATATGAAAGAAATGGTTGATTGAAGTTTGCGTTGTATTAACGATTTGGGAATTGTTTATCTTTTCATGAATTTAATAAATTTTAAAGGAAACTATGAGTGGTGACTTACCTACTCTGGAAATGAAACGAAAACAATGGGAGGAGAAAGAGGTAGTGCAGATTTGAGACTATCACTTTCTACGGTGTGTCTCTGTTCTGAAGTTTGTAAGTTTAATTTTATAGTATATTTCCTCCTATTTGTTTGTATAAAACTATTTTGTGATTACAGATTGAAAATTTAGCAGGAGATGCACAGAAAAATTATAGACAGAATGAATGGTCGGACGAAAGAGGTCAGCCCTTCATAAATTAATAAAGTAAGTTTCTATGATTTTTAACCTTCTTTACACAACTTGCATTTGAATAATGTTTCCATTTTCTTTCACACCATTCATTATAAAATTGATGTTGTAGTGTACATATGTTAGAATCCTATAAAGAAGCAGGGATTGGATTTGGAGCTAATGTTCAATAACTTACCCCTTGGTACGGTTCTTTTCTTACACATTTGATACTTGAATGGATTCAAGAATTGTAATGCTTCTTCTGATCTTATCATGTATGGTTCTTTACCAGGTTCTCTCTGTCGTTTGGCTTCTTCAAGATGAAGTTGATCCTATGGTCTCTGTCATGAAGGTTGAAGGCACATTGGTGGTTTAGATGCCCAGATACAGGAAATTAAAGAAGCAGTTGAGCTTCCATTGACACACCCTGAACTGTATGTAATATTATGAAATATTATGAAATATTTCTTTGAAACATAAATTATTTTTAATATAAAATAACTCTCTATTTCTATAATTCATTATTTAAAATTCAGGATCTTAATTTTATTGTCATACCAACATACTCTGATATTTCAAATTTTTAAGAATCACGCCTTATGACTTGATATAATTCCTGCAAATGCATCCTTATATTCGTATAATTAAATTGATTTAATAAGCTATAACTTGATATATCCAATCCTTATAAGTTTAAGTTGGATTTAGTGTAGACTATAAATTTTAATTAAGATATCTTAATGTTTATTTTGATTTTGAAATTCTTTATTATGTAGTTTATTAAAAAATTTTGAAATATATAGTTTATTATGGAAAATTTGTTTTAATTACACACTTTGTTGTTTTTATTAGTAATATTAATGTTTTATAAGTTTTTAAATATGTATATCAGATTGAGGGTGGAGAGGAAGATGGGAATGAATAGCCGCCAAAAGCAAAAGTTGCCAAATTCTATTTAAGGGACTTCAAGTTCTTGATGTTTAAGTCCTTCTTATCAAACCTTTTTTTTTCAAAGATTATGCAATCATTCATTATGAGTAGCAATACTTTGAGAAAAAAAATATTCATAAAGAATAAAATCATCTCTTAACCTAATAAAATTTATAATTATGTTGATAATTTTTTAACTCCTAAGAGTTAAGATAAACTAAATCTCATCTCTGAAATTTTAAAGAAAATTTAAGTTCCCAAATTTAAAATATAATTTTAATTTTAAATATTAAGCTTAAAAAATTAAAATATTTTTTAAAAAGTATTTTGAATCCTTCAAATTTAATATTTTGAGAATAAAATCATATATTTTTAAACTTAAAACACTAAAATAAATTACTTTTAATATGATATTGAAACCAAACTAATCTAACATTTTTTTGGAACTAGAAGAACCATAACTAAATTTAGATAAATAATTGTACAATTGATATTAATAAATTTTATTTTTAGCACAAAAAAAGAAGAATCTTAATACAAAACATTTAATTTAATTTATTTGTGTTTAAAAAATTGAATATGTATTTCACTTTTAGTAATTAACCCATATATTTACTAAAATAAAATTAACCTTAATTAAAACCTTTTCTTATAAATTCAAAATCGTTAACTATTCTTTCATTATTAATTATATAATAATATTAATTATTTTCGTTAATTATTTTTTTCTCTTAATAATTAACGCCGTTGTTTGTACGAATTTAACAGAAAAAATTTCATTGATACAAATTTTATTAAGTGAGGAAGTAATTGACGTATTTTTTTAAAAGATGGAGTAATTTTACATTTTCGAACTGGGAATAAAATAGAATATTAAGCCATAATTTAATTATATTAATTATTAATAAAATTAAAATAAAAGTAACAAAAAAAATGAAAGACCCGGTCTGATTTTTCCTCCGCTTCCCTTCTTTCATATCGACTCGAATTCTCTATTTACTCCTTCCGTTTTGGAGTTGAGTTTGTTCGGGAAATCCACAATTGGAGGGAGAATGTCAGTGAATCTCACCGAAAACGCGATTCCGGCGATAATTAATGGCGACGTCGACGCCAAACCGCTTGTTCAGGTTTTGGACGTTACCTTAGTCTCCAACAGCAACAACTCGCAGCAGCAGAGATACCGTCTCCTGATTTCCGACGCCGTTTCGTCTCACCACGCGATGCTCGCCACTCAGCTCAACGACCGAATCCGGACCGGTCGAGTTCGGAAGGGTTCGGTTGTTCAGCTTCTCGATTATATATGCACTCCTTTCAAGAACCGCAAGTCTCTCTCTTCTATACAAATCTAATTTTGGATTTAAGTCATTTCTCTAGTTATGCTGAAAGTAGTGTTGTTGCGATTGCTAATATAATAATGTCCATGTGATTTCACTTTTTATGTTATTCAAATTTAAATATGGTTCAGATTTCACTTCTTAAAGCAAACTGTAATATAACCTTATTTGTCATGTTATGCATTTGCAAACCCTGATAATTCGAATTAAAAGAAGAAGCGGTTGAATTTTTTGTTGAATGAATTTTATCTATGATTGGTTAGAGTGTGAATAAAGAAAAGCAATGCAACCTACTTAGAGATTTGCAAAACCTTAGCATTTAGTTGTTAGGCTTAATGTGTCTGTGTATAGATGGATTCTAAGGAATAAAGAACATGTTGCTGATTGAATCTTGCTTCTTCAACTTTAGTTTTATCCTGTAAAATTAGTTTATATACTTATGTGTTTTTCTTTGCACAGGATTATTATGGTTCTAAACATGGAAACTATAATAGCTGATTTTGATATCATTGGGAATCCGAAGCCACCCTTGGATTCAGATTTACCAAGTGTGAGGGCTATAGCAGATAACACTGTGGAGAGTTTGGCCAGGAGTAATAATACTAGTAATACTATTAGTAACTCTGCTGCTCAAAATGCAAGTCATGATAAAGCCCAGAGTTTCAGGCCAACAATTCAACCTCCATACCAACCGCCTCCTGTTTACAAAGGCCGTGGTGCAGTTATGAAAAATGAGGCGCCAGCACGCATCATTCCTATAGCTGCTTTAAATCCTTATCAAGGTCGGTGGGCTATCAAGGCAAGGGTAACTGCTAAAGGTGATCTGCGCCGCTACAATAATGCACGTGGTGATGGGAAAGTCTTCTCATTTGATCTCCTGGATTCTGATGGAGGTGAAATACGAGTAACATGCTTTAATGCTGTTGTTGATCGATTCTATAGTGTAATTGAGGTTGGTAAAGTTTACATGATATCGAAAGGTAGCTTAAAACCTGCACAGAAGAATTTCAACCATTTGAAGAATGAATGGGAAATTTTTTTGGAATCAACTTCAACAGTAGAGTTGTGCCCGGATGAAGATGATTCTATACCTAGACAGCAGTTCTCATTCCGACCTATCAGTGACATTGAGAATGTTGACAATAACTCCATCCTTGATGTTATTGGGGTTGTGACATCTGTGAACCCTTCTGTTCCCATCTTGAGGAAGAATGGAATGGAAACCCAGAGAAGAGTTTTGAGTCTAAAAGACACTTCTGGCAAGAGTGTTGAACTTACCCTGTGGGGAGAATTTTGCAATAGGGAAGGGCAACAGTTGCAAGAGATGGTAGATTCTGGGTTTTTCCCTATTTTAGCTGTCAAAGCGGGGAAGGTGAATGATTTTAGTGGAAAGTCGATAGGCTCTATTTCTACCACACAGCTTTTCATAAATCCTGAGTTCCCTGAGGCCAATAGCTTAAGACAATGGTTTGATCTAGTTGGAAAAGATTCTGCTTCCCTTTCAATTTCTAGGGACGTTATTCCTGGAGGAACGAAGAATGAGGTTCGTAAAACTGTATCTCAAATCAAGGATGAAGGTCTGGGACGATCAGACAAGCCAGACTGGATAACAATAAGGGCAACCATAGCATTCATCAAGACTGATACATTTTGTTACACAGCTTGCCCTCTGATGATTGGAGATCGACAATGCAATAAAAAAGTGACTAGGTCAGGAAACACAAGATGGCAATGTGATAGATGCAATCAAGAATTTGAGGAGTGTGATTACCGATACCTTCTCCAAGCTCAAATTCTGGATGGCACTGGATTAACTTGGGTAACTGCTTTTCAGGAAGCAGGTGAAGAGATTATGGAGTATTCAGCGAAAGATCTGTACTTGTTGAAGCATGAACAACAGGATGATGAGAGGTTTGCAGAAGTACTCAAGAGCCGACTCTTCAAACAGTTTATGTTTAGGCTGAAAATCAAAGAGGAATTATATGGCGATGAACAGAAGGTCAAGATTACTGTAGTTAAGGTAGATAAGGTGAATTATTCTTCAGAGAGTCAATACATGCTTGATTCGATTTCCAAGTTTTGTAGGAAGTGATTGTAGCTTGGTTTCAGCTTCTTTTAGTATTATTGAGAACCATACATGTAGTGTTAGTATTCAAGCTTTGCAAAGAATTAATCATTAGTCATTACTGACTGAGTTACTACGTCATTTGTATGCCCATTGCAGAGACATAGATTTAGATAGTATCAATTCGTGTTTGAATTTCCTGTTTCTTCTTTTTTGTGTGTGGATGTGCCTTTATATCACGCAGGATATATTCATTGCTCCTTGTATTACCTCGTATGACCGTGTAATCCCACTATTTTCGAATTATTAATCATCAAGTATCCTACTATCTGATTCATTCTAATTTAATCTCAGTCACATCTGTAGTTAATGTTATATAATCGTTCCTTAAAGTTGGATATTTTCAATATGTAATGTATCATCAGTCTGCCAGTTATTCCATTCTTATGCAGCAAAATGACGCAATCAACAAAAAAATTCGTTTTAAGAATTGAAGGGCTTCTGCCCAAGTAGAGAATAATAAAGGTCACATATTACACAACAGAGGGTTCACTTCATTTCTGAAGAAAAATACATTACAGATGCTGCATATCATTATAAGAGTTAAAAAAAAAAATAGAACACAGTGCCTCAGAACTTCATCAGCTTCGTTTGACGGGATCGAAATTGGCAACACCAATTACAGCACCAATAATGGCCACAACAACAACTCCACCGGCGGCGATGCTGAGCAAAAAGTTCTTGAGAGAAGGTGAGACAGCAGCCTCAGCCACATCAGGAGCCATCATTGAAGCCGTCAATGCAGCTGCTGTGAGCCCTGTGACAACTTTCTCCTTCATGGAGGCTCTCACTTGAAACCTTCCATTGGGATTTGATGCTGTCAGTGCCTTTGAAGACCGTAGAGGCAGTGGCTTGAAGAAGGCATCAGAGGTAGGAACGACCTTCTTGTGGCTGGCACAAGTTACCGGCATAGCCATTGAAAGTGCAGAAGTGGAAGCCATTTCTTCTCTGTAGTTTCTTTCTTTCTTCCCCTGCTAAGTCTTTCTTTACTAGCTAGAAGTTGGTGCGAACAGTGAGG